GGAAACAGCTCTGGAGGGGGAAGAGTGAATCCAAAGAGACCACTTGTTAGTAGCGGACTGCACAGTCCTCCAGAAATGCCTAATGAGCAAGACACTATGGTGATATTTTATTTGTATTAAAATGTTATTTGTATGTTAATAAATAAAGTTCCCCGGGGGGTCAGAGCTATTAGCAAGCCATAGGAAAGGAGGGCAGTGGTGGCATACGCTTGTAATCCCAGCACTTGGTAGGCAGAGCTAGGTAGATCTCTGTGTGTTCAGGGATACAGCCAGTATTGGAGACACACACCTTTAATCTCAATACCAACCATAGAAAACCTGGAGGTCTATACAGACAGGCAGTGATGATGCGGCCATGTGGTTGGGTTTACAACCAATGAGAAGGCAGAACAGAAACACTATAAAAAGACAGACACACAGGAAGTAGCTCTGGTTCGGAGAGGTAGGACCACCGCGGGAGGAAGGGTAAGGTTTTAGCTCTTAGCTCTGACCTCTTGGCTTTCTTCTTTGCATTGGTTCTGTGTTTCTTATTTAATAAGATGGTTGGTTACATCTACAAGACACACATATCCATACTCCAGGACAGACAGCCCATCACCATTTATCCATCCCTGGTTAGTGTCATATGTCCTGTGCCTGGGCTCTCCTACATAGGCACTCTTCTCCCTAGACACATCCACTTGAGGAATGATCCCCTACCTTGGACATTAAGCCACATAGATCTTGTTTCTTCTGTCGTGTCTATAAATAGGAAAAATTTCCTGTCTGCCTTACAGAAATAGGAGCCACTGTCACTGAATCTTGCATTCGAAATGGTGTAGCTCGAAGCACTGCTGTAAGTAGCTATATGAGATCCATCCTTGAAGTACTTTAGTCTCTTTATGTCACCATTCTTCTTTCCCGTGCACCTTATATCTAGATGGTCTCCTTCATAAACACGTTGTGGCATGCTGATGCTCAGCCAGTCTGCAAAGGAAGCAAGGAGACAGAGAGTACCAACACTGCCCCTGCCTGGATGCTCCTGGGAAGGGAGAGGCAGGCTCTGCATGTGTCTAGAAGCTGAGGATTCACAGTGCCTGGGAACCTGCTGTCTCTGAACACTTTCTGGCTCAGCAGAGTGAGCTCTACCTCACTTAGTAGCATTTTTTTCCCCAAATATGCCGTTTGGATGTATGTTAATAGATTTTAATGCTGTTTCCCCAGCTCCCAACAGCTGGACTAAATATGAATTTAAAATGAGTCCATTAGCTAAGTGAGATAGCACAGGTCTGGAATGAATGCTATTCATGGAGTTGAGGCAGGTAGGTCACAGATTAAGCTACAGATTAAGTTTAGTGTGAATTTAGGTAACAGTAAGGCTCGATCTCACAATAAACAGCACACATGACTGGATACGGATAGCTTAGTGATGGAGTCCCTTGCCTGGCTGTGCAAGACCCTGGCCCAAGCCTCAGCACCACTTTTCCCTCCACTAGAAACTCCAGCTGTGTCTCCTTACACCTATTGACATGGCTTCAGGTCCCCATGGCAGCCATGATTAACCCTTCTGCTTGTCTCCTGTGTATAATCCCTGTTTAGTAGCGTGGTCAAGTCCTTCCATTGCATGTCAGTCTCCCGAGACGGAACTAAGGGGGCCACTGAGACTCAAGCTCCGGAATCTACATCTCTAAGTCTCTGGCGTCTCCTAGAAACTCTTTCAGAGGCGTCTGCAAATCATGGCCATGCTTGGCCCTGTAGGACCCCCCATAAAGAAGAAGTGGAGCCATCGCATGCCCCACAGGACAGCGATCATTGGGGATTGGTGGATAGTGTGGTGTTTTTGGTTCTGCCCACAGCGGGAGGAGAAAACTCAAAAGAATGGGCCCTAAATATTGGACCCTTCATCACAGGATACTGTCCAGTGTGAGGGAAGAGTCCTGGGAGAAATAAGTACAGAAGTGACCTTTAGACACCTGCCCAGCTGGTTCTTCTGACTCACGGGATTGTCTAAGGAGAAAAAACCTGGGTTCATAGTCCTAGAGTGAGACCTATAAGGATGTAGATGAAAAACACTGAGAACTTCCTCAAGCATATGTCATACTACAGCATATATTTCTAAAGCACATATCATAAAGATGATAATCTTTAATAGTAATTCTTCCTCCATCCCTCCCTTCCTTCCTCCCTCATTCCTTTCATCCCCTGTTTCCTTCTTTCCCTTCCTCCACACCCTTCTCTTTTTTGGAGAGATTCTGGGGATCAAACTCAGGGCCTTGCACATTCTAACCAGCCCAGTGCTCTAGTACTGAACTAAACCCCAGTTCACCTTCTCACCCTTCAAAATGCTCTGCTTGTGGATGCATTTTTCCTTGTGCACGTCTCTGTATCTAAATAACATGTTGTAAATGTTCATCCAGAAGGTTCCAATAGGGCCAAGTGACCAAACAAACTCAAGATAACTTTTGTGTAGCTTTTACCAGCTTTGGAACATAATGGAAAGAGAGGTAGATGGCCAGGCACAAAGGTTGATAAAGAATTAACTGTTTCAAGCCAATATTCTTTTTCCTACATGGTGAGGCTGGACAATACTTTCCTCTGAATATTGTAGAAATAAAATAAGTTTGATTAAAGAAGTGTTTGAGACATAAGATTTATGAGACCAAATTGAAAGTGATTCCAAGTGATAGGAGGCAGAGAAGGATTGTAACAGTTTCCCCTGAGACTGAAATAAGGATTTCACTGCAAGACACTTAGGTTAGTGTTTTGAGTTCTGAGTTTTTCCTTAGAGCCGTATTTCCTCGAATTAACTACAGTTATGCACAAACTACATTGATCTTAATTCTGAGAGTTCACTGGATCCCATGAGGTTACACTAGAGCCCTTCCATTAAGAAATTTAAAAACTTTCTTGTTCACAATTACAAACCTAGGAACACAAGCATTATCTCCTCAGCACATTGTAGAAAGAATGTGTTCTCAATGGCTCAACCAAAGAAGAAAGCCTAATTTCTAGGCTACTCTGAAACTAAGTGTTTTCTTTATTTCATTATATTAAAATTCCAATAAAAAAAGGAAAAGCACATTAGTCATTGGATTGTTTCCATCCCAGTAGAGACCTGAGGGTGTTCATGCCTTCTGCAGAGCACCCCCTCAGCCTCTTGCTCCTCTCTGCTATGACTATATTTTCAGTCACTCCTTCTGGTGAGGATGAGGGCATTTCCCCCCAATGGCTACACAGATGGCTTTTTCTTCACAGTTACTCCCTTTCCTGTCAGAGGGTTCAGCAGCAAATGGGAACTAATTCATGGTCTTGAGAGGGCCAGGACGCTGTCTTCTTCCCATCCTGCACCAGCTGGCAACCAGAGGTGGTGCAGCCTGGGCCACCCTGGCACAGCTGATCAAGGGGGAGGAGAGGGAGGTGCTGGATCCTTCCTCTCTTCACCCCAGCCCTGCCTCAGATCCCTGCAACCTTCTGCTAAGATGCTTCACCAGGCAGAACCTCCCATGCCCAAGAGAGTGAGGTGCCAGAGAGCTAGAGGAATGAAGAGAACTGCTTACCGGATTGGACTCCGACAGGAGCTGTGAGGGAACAGAGTAGAGAGATTACACAGGACCGAGGTCTTCACACTTTGTAAAGGCTGTAGCCCTCCCAGGGTTCCCAAGCACTTCCCCTCCTTTTCTTCTTGTTTCTTCCTCCCCTTCATCTTTCCTCCTTCATTTCCTCTGTGTTTTCTCTCCATCTTTCTTTCATCCCTCCTCCTACTCACAAATGACACTGCTATGGAACCCAATATTCATTTTCATTATTCCTAGCACATTATGAACAGTCCTTGGCCATTCCCAGAAGTTTGGGTTTTGCAGGCAAATTTTCTTTCTTTTTTTTTTATTAAGAAAAAAATTTTAAATTATTTTCCACACCAATCAAAGATCCCCCTCTTCCCTCCTCCTACCCCTCCCCAACCTCCTTCCCCAACCCACCCCCAATTCCCTCCCACAAGAAGGCAAGGCCACCCATGGGGAGACACACCCAGTAGAGTCAAGATCAAGCCCTTCCCCCTGCCTCAAGGCTGCAGGAGGTGTCCCATCATAGGGAGTTGGCTCCACAAAACCCCCTCATGTACAAGGGATGGAATCTGATTCTACTGCCAGGGGGGCCCCCAAGCAAATCAAGCTACACAACTGTCTCGTCATGCAGAGGGCCTAGTCCAGTCCCATGCAGGCTCCACAGCCTTTGATCCAACTTTCATGAGTTCCCACTAGTTTGGTTTGATTGTCTCTGCAGGTTTCCCCATCATGATCCTGATGCACTTGCTCATAGAATCCCTCCTCTCTCTCTCTCTTACTGGACTCCTGGAGCTCTGCCTGGTGTTTGGCTGTGGATCTCTGCATCTGTCTCCATCAGTCACTGGAGAAAAGCTCTGTGATGACAGCTAGGGTATTTATAAATCTGGTCACTGGGACAAGCCAGTTCAGTTCAGGCACCCTCTCCACTATTTCTAGTAGTTCAAGCTGGGGTCATCCTTGGGGATTCCTGGGAACTTCCCTAAGCACCAGGTTTCTCTCTATCCCCATGATATCTCCCTCTATCATGGTATCTCTTTTATTGCTCTCCCACTCCATCCCTGTTCCAGCTCGACCATATCATTCCCGTATGTTCTCATCTCCCATCCCCCATCCTCCATTGCCCACTCCTCACCCCCAGTTCACTCATAGAGATCTCATCTATTTCCCCTTCCCCAGGGCAATCCATGCATCCCTCTTTGGGTCTTTCTTGTTACCTAGCTTCTCTGGAGTTGTGGGTTGTTGTCTGGTTATCCTTTGCTTTACATCTAGTACCCACTTATGAGTGAGGACATACCATGTTTGTCCTTCTGAGTCTGGGTTACCTCACTCAAGATGATATTTTCTAGTTCTATCCATTTGCAGGCAAGTTTTCAAGAGCTTCATTTCTTATCTCTTCTTCCACCTTCTTTATTTACATATTTCTATTTTTTGAAATTCAAATATAATTATATCTTTTTCTCCCTTTCCTTTCCTTCTCCCAACTGCTCTAAGTGTTCCTTGCTCTTTTTTAAATTTATGACTTCTAATTGTTTTGTGTGTGTGTGTGTGTGTGTGTGTGTGTGTGTGTATACACACCTATATATAATACAACATACTCAGTCCATACAGTGTTACATGTATGCATATGATTTCATGGCTCACCAGTTGGTATTGGATAGCCAGTTTGGAGGCTCTACCTTTAAGCTGTCCAGATTATTTTGCTTAAGAGAAATCATCTAAATAGGGGCATCTTAGATGCCAGGGAGGGCCACAAAGAAACACAGGGTCTGCTCATGTTTAATAGACAACAGTTCTCCTTCTTTCCACATTCTAGACCTACTCCTGTGAGTGGGGCTGTGTAAGAGTCTTATTGATAGGCACCACCTATGATATCCACTATGGCTAGCGAGACTTGAAGTCTATGCAATGTCTCAGTCTATGGAGGTAAGAGTTCAGTCAAAAATGGTGACTCTTGAAGTAGAGTCTGGGCTTTGGGGTGTAAAATTAATGTAGGCTGTGCATGGCATTCACTCTACCAGAAAACTCCGTAGAAGCTCTTTGAATGAAAATTTACTGTTTTCCTAGAGATCAAA